AAAAAAAAAAAAAAAAAAATTAAAAATACAACTTCTGTATAATCCAGTCTGCTTCTGAGCATATATTCTAAAGAATGAACTCAGCTTATGTTAGCAATACTTGCATACTTATGTTTATCACAGAACAATTCATACTAACCAAACAATAAAACCGACCTAGGTCCACATCAACAGCTGCATGCGTCAAGTGCTGCATTTGTTTATACACTGTGAAGCTATGAAGAAGAATGAAATTACATCATTTGAAAGAACATGGAATTGAAGATCGTCAGGTTAAGTGAAGTGAACAGGTCCCACCAAAACAAATACATCTCTTCCTTAGCATGTGTGGGATTGGTGTGGAGTGGAGGGAAGGGTAGGACACCAAAGGGTGGATTTCTCGGGATGTGGACGGGAGGGGACTTAAGAATGTACGAAAGGTCAAAGCCAGGTGGGGTTCCAGTACTGAGAGGTGAGGTGAAGTAGATGCAGGTCCCAACCCCAATCCTGAAGCTATCTCCAAATGATACTCTCTCTCAAAGGAAAAATTTGTTTCCTCCAATAGTCTCACTAGACATACAAACCACATTTAGGGCAGTAGATGGCCAACATAAAACAAACTCTGTTATCTCTTTGGAGATTATTTAATTTTTTCCCTTATAGATCTTTTGCTTATATATCATGGTTTCCAACTTTGTTTTAATGGATTTTCTGTGTATGTGAATATGTGTGTCTCAGTGTCTGTATATTTGTTTCTTGTGATTTTCTTTGGCTCTTTTTAAAAATAATTAATTACTTTATTTATTTTACATCCCAGCTGTAGTTTCCCCTCCCTCCTCTCCTCCCAGTTCCTCCTCCTCACCCCACCTCTGCTCCCGCCCCCCAGTCCACTTCTCCTCTGTTTCTGTTCAGGAAACAGGTCTCCCATGAGTATCAATAAAACGTGGCATATCAAGTTGCAGTAAGACTAAGCATCTCCCTATGTATTAAAGCTAGGCCAGGCGACCCAGTATGAGAAGTAGGGCCTTTTGGCTCTTTTTTCTGTTTATTTGCTTGCTTCATACTATTCTGTTTTTTGTTTTTTTGTCTTAATATATTTATATACCTATTTGTATTCTAATGAAAGAGAGAATGAAAGGGTGTAGATGTGGAGAGGATCTGGAGGGAGTTGGGGAAGGGGAAACCATAATCAGAATATATTGTGTAAAAAAATACATTTTCAATTAAAAAGAGAAAGTAATAAAGGGATACGTGTGACCTAAATACATCATATGCATATTTTAAAAACGTCCACGAAACATACTTTACTTTGTGCAATTTTAATATGTTTTGAATTTTGTTTTTAACACATTTGTTTGTTTGTTTGTTTGTTTGTTTGTTTGTTTGTTTTAATCCCAGCCACAGTTTCCCCTTCTCCCTCTGGTCCCTCCTGCCACTCTCCTCCTCTGTTCCCACTCCCCAATCCACTCCTCCTCCGTTTCTGTTTAGGACTTAAAAACTACAAAAGCCCATAATTATTCATGCTAACAACCAAACAGCTGCTACATTATAGATGCTATATCCTGTTTTTTACATTTATTCTTGTATATTACATATTGAAAGAAAACAGATTTCTCTTTGAACATTTGTATTAAAGATGCTAAAATAAAACTACATCTAGTCAACTCCTTATTTTTTTTGTTCTGGCCTCATACTGGGGATTGAACCCATGATCTCCAGCATGCTAGAGACGTCCTCTACCACAATGCTACCCCCAACCATCCATACTCAGTGTTAAATCTGAAAACAAAGAGATGTTATACAGAAAGTCTCCAAATAGTTCTCAGCATTTATGTAATTTAAAACAGTAACCAGAGAGAGGACTCATTTTTATATGTGGTTAAGCCATTAGGCTGGCTTGCTGAAAGGTATCTTGGCAAGTCAGGGTGTACATTAAGACTTACTTTCTACATTTTTATATTTTTACATTTAGCTTCAAAATAAAAGACATTAAATATTCTTATGATTTGATTAACAAATTCAGTTATAAGATATGTACCTGGATATATACTTTCAAATGTCAGTCCTCAGCAATGGTGTCATTGAGCTAAAAATTCTATCAACTTTTTAAAAGACTGCCCAATACATTCTACTAACATAGTCCAGGCAGGCTTTAGACACTTGGTGGTGGCTGAGGGCATTTCCCAGTATTTTTATCCACTTATCATGCAATGAAATATTGTTACCATAATGGAAAACAAGGAAATCCAGTCACACAGAGATGACTTCAAAGAACATCACTCTGCTCACCTTGGGGTGCTACAAGAGTTCTTCCATTCTCCTGACACCAACCAACTGGCTGGACATAAGGACTGTTAACATCACACCTGCAAAAACAGGATTCTGTGTTTATACTCACAGTACTGGGTTTCAAGAGTAGACTGTGAAATGTCATCTACATCCTTAGCCCTTGGTGCCCACCTAAATCACCAGTTTTAAAGGCTGACGAACCTTTTGGCTATGGTGTACAACTGACAGATGTAGGACCACAGGAGTGAACTGGGCCATTATAGCTGATCCTTATTCTGGCCTGCATGTTCGGCTTCCTGGATGAGCATATAGCAGAACCACCACTCTGACTCCCACTGTCCCATCACCATGCCTTCCCCACACTCTCAATACGAGGCCAAAAAAATAATCCTTCTTCCTTCCTGTTGCTCCCATTGAGATCCTGTCACAATCACAAACAGGGAATAATAGAGAATCAAAGAGCAATGACCATGCTGGGCGTAAAGAGGTCCCACGGGGACAGCACTTCAGTTACCAGGAGCTAGAAACAAGGTCAAGCACAGCACTTTAGAGTGGGTGACCAAACTTCTTACTTCAATGACTTTCTTATATTTGAAATTGGAAAATGAAGTAGGGTAGGGCTAATGCAGAGCTGACTATACAGGTGATTGTCAGGTAAAGGTCTTGGTCAGTCTCTTCCATCCACTCCGACTACTAACAGGGCCAGTTGTTAATAGGAAACTCCAGATGTGAACAAGACTGCCGAGTCAGACCCAAGACAGCTACATTCTTCCTTTTACTTTTCAAAGGATCTGGAATAGTCTATACAACAACAGCTCTATGTTCTGATTCTTAGTTCAGAGGAGAACACCAGACCTTCATCAGGTGCATGAGGAGCTGCAGCTTGAGCAGGGACCTGTCAAGTGTTCATGACACACACGGGAAATGTGACAAAACATTGTTTTTGCCGATTCCCTAGTTCAGCTTTTTTATCCAGTTAGCCCTTTCAACGTGCACAAAGTCCATTTAATGGCTCCACAGCACACATTTTCTCTACTCCCCATGGGCTTTCAAATCATTCACCCCCATTCTCCTTGGATCTTTTGTGTGCAAGGCTGAGTTCAATAGTTTTCAGACCCCAGCCCCCACCATGAAAATAATCAACCTTGCAACTTCTTAAGTTCCCTTTCTCAAATCTATTTCCATTATAAATGAGATAAAATATAAGAGCAAAAACAAGCCCTGAGCTGTTTCCATTGCTTCAAGAGAGACACTGCTGAGTAACTTCATAGACAATAGGGGGAAATGGGGGTGGGGTGGGGTGGGGAGGGCAGTGCTCTTCAATCCAACAATCCATGTGGAAGAGAGGCATCAAAAAGTCAACTGATGAATTTCTGATGTGCGTTACAGTCAAGACAGTCAACACCGGAAAGATGAATTTTAAATACTAAATACAGATACAGGCAAAGCACATGCATGCTGATGTCTCACCAGTAATCTAGGCCATCATCCCAGTCATCAAAATGCACTCGGAGACGGTCTTCCACGATGTCTGCAATGGTTGCCACATATACCAAGCGAGGGTTCCTTCTGTCCACAGCCTCCAGCTTCATTCCGACCTGAAGCTCCTTTGGCACTGGTCCATTCTAACATGGCACCAGAGTGATGGAAAGACACAGAATCAAACAGGTCAACCCATGGTACCAAACAACTGTGGGGATTTCTATGGCACTTAAGAACTAACAAGGTCTACACAGTATCAACATTTACTCACCTGACTCGGGAAGGCAAAGGCAAAGGCTCCCTCATTTATAACAAGGACTGAGGACACAAGGTTCCCAATGGCTTTCCATTTTAGTTACATAAGGAAGTTGTCTTTCCCTTACCATCTTCATTTTCTTTGTTTGGTTCTTAGAATGATGTGAATGGATTCTAATATTCAATATTTACTGAATATGGCTACATCAGATGATAAATTTATCATCTACTCCCTGTAGGCTAATGAAATTTCCAAATACCACTATTTGAAAAGTGGTAAAGATTATGCTCTTTAACACACACAAAAAAAAATTGTTTAATTTGATAATGGAATTTAAAACTAGTGTTTTCTCAATGTTTAAAGACTGTATTGTACAGATACAAATATAAATGACTTTAATGCTTCGATGTTTCTAGCAGAAAATATAGATTATGGTTAAATGTAACTCTACTTTTTGTATGAAATGGCTATAATTAGCCAGCCTTGGAGCTTTAAGATACACATAATACTGGAGACTGGATGGAGGATTCCTTTGTCTATTTCTTTATCTTTCAGTGAATTCTATTTTTAAGGCAATCTCCTATCAGTAAAGTCCATTTTTTTGATATACAAATCTACGAGGGACAAATAATAAATATCTAACATTAACATCAGATCAGGAAAGTGAAACTTATTTCAGTAAAGTGCCCTAGGTTTGGGATCCTCAGTAGGTAAGGCTCAGCTGGGACACCAGGCAAGAGAGGGAGAGGGTCCCTAGGAGCCAGAGTTCAGTCCTGGCTTCTGTCCTGCTTCACTCTCTCCCAAAATGCCCACTCACTACTGAGTACAGAGAACGGCTGCACATTGAACTTTCATTCTACACTGAAGGCTCACTGAGTTGCTTGGGACACAAAAGCACACAGGGCCTACTCTAGACAAATCCTGGAATAGCATCCTTGAATCTGCCAAAAATGCTTCTTTCATTTTCATTATTCTTAGATACATCTCTGCTACGTATGTGACAGAGTCTGTCTGGACTATTGATTCATTTCAAAACACCAAAATTAAGCTTAAGGAACTAACTTGTTGCAACATAAAGGAAAAAATATCCATAAAAGTATTTTAAATAAGTTTTAGTAGGCTTAATTTAAATTAAGTTTTCTGAAGTATTTAATTGCAATGCTAAAGGAGAAAACAAAAACAAACAAACAAACAAAAAGCTATATGCTCAGGGGAGACTATGATAAATTAAGTTAGGAAAGGTAAAGGCAATTAAGACATTTTGTAATTTATGAGGTTTAAAATATAACAGCATATAAAGCAAGTTTAAAGAAACTTAAGCTTAGGGAAGAGTGGGATTTACAGGAAGGAAGACAATACTCACAGGACTTCTGTTTCTGAATAATTTCTTAGGAGCATTTTGCAATCTACAGGCCTTCAAGTAATCCATCCAAACAATTTTATCTTTTCTATAACCTAAAAAAAGTACAATTATTCAAAAGACATCATCATGTATATTTTAAATATATTATTATTCCTAGTTTTAATCTTCTGCTATATATTCAGTAACTCCTTTGGTCATCACAAATGATTTATATTAAAATCTCCAAATTGTTCTCATGTTGTTTAAATGTCTTAAGTTCAAAGTCGTTGAGTGTAGTTTCCATAATATATATCAGTCCCCACAGATGATTAATATCCACTGAGATATGGTATTGCCCCCTCCCCTGCCCTAGGCTTTTAAAGAAGGGCAAAAAGAGTGAGAGAAGAGTCCCAGAGTGGTTACCATTCACCAGGAGGCGAGGTCACAAAGACCAAGAGAGATCCTGATGCTTTAGTAGTTGAGATGGTCAGACACTTGGGAGAAATTAGGAACCCCTTCACAATCCAAAGGTCACCCTGGGATCAATACCCAGCACTGCCAAAATCCAAAGGCCATTTGGCAGGTCCAACTCTCTGTTCCTAATCTTTATAAATTACACAGTAAAAATGTCTTATCTTCCCATCCATGTGACCTGTGTGAATAAGAATTTCTAGAAAGAAGTCTATGTCTGCACAGACTGTCTGATTGGCTCCTTGGGATTTTAGCACTGCAGGGAGGTTAGAATGTTGCAGGTCCAGAGGCTAGTTACCTTACCTTGGGGTAGTTCTAACAAGTTGGAATAGCTATTCTTTGCCCGCTTCTGCATCAGAACAAAAACTCTATAACTAATAGAAACCTTTTGGAATCTATTAACTTAACAGGCCACTAGCTTCCGCCAACACAAAAGCTAAATATGCCATCAGATAGCACCTTGGCTCATAAAAGAGCTTCCCCCGTCTTGCTGTATTTACTCATCTTCCCCATCTCTGATTTACTCATCAATGAACTTTAAACTTGCCCTGATTTATGACTTTCCTTGTTCTGTAACACTATTAAAATTTCATGAAATTGTTTCCATATTGAAACATGGAATTGGAGGTAACTTGGATATGTGTTCTTAGGCCATGGTCACTCAAAATGGCTCCAGAATAAACTATCTCTTATTCCCTTTAAGGTGAGAGATGTGATTTCTGTATTGACACCTGAAGTGGCCCCAGTTACACGGGATCAGTATTTTCTTATTGAATCTGTAAGCCAAATTCTTTGCAGAGCTCAAGACTACATTCACACATTAGCTTTAATTTTGTACCATGGTTCCCCACTAGTCTCCTCGAGATGGCATCCTGTCCAAATACTCCCCCACTCCAGGACATCAACTCTGGCTTTTGTTCTTGCCTGGGAGGCCAAGCTGCTTTCTCATTTTGTTGAAGTGTCTGGGATCCTGTGACTTCACAGAGGCCTACATATTCATCTGACAGAGTACCCTGGGACCTTACTCAGTCCTTCCTTGCTGTGGAATAATCTTCTTTTATACTGTAAAGATTTGTCTCTTGAATTAGTTTAATAAAACACTGATTGGCCAGTAGCTAGGCAGGAAGTTAGATGGGAAAACCAAACTGAGAATGCTAGGAAGAAGGAGGGTGGAGTTGAGGCGACACCAGCCAGCCAGCTGCCTACCAAGCAGGATGTGTAAAAATGAGGTAAGAAGTCATGAGCCACATAGCAAAGCACAAATTAAAATATGGATTAATTTAAGTAAAAGAGTTAGCTAGTAACAAGCCTGAGCTAATGGCCAAGCATTTATAATTTATGTTAAGCCTCTGAGTGATTGTTTGAGAATGGCTGTCAGACACAGGAAAACATCCATTTATACCTCCCTCCTCTAAAGGACAGCCCCATAGAGCCTAAGATTTCATATTTTCTGCTGTTCAATACTTACTACCAATATATACCAAAGGCTTCATAATGCCTATTGGATGAATGAGACCACTGACTGTCACAAGCTCTCATCAAATCCAGCAATTCAAAAGACTGCCTTCAGCCCCAGGCATATGCCAAAGAACACCTGAGTTGATTCCCAAGAAGAGGGAGACTGCACACTCAATCCAAACGTGCTGCAGTGACTCAGCAGCAACCTAACACCTAGTCCGGAAACAACGCACTGCCAATGGTTGTCCAAAGAACCTAGACCAAGGCTTCTCACAGCAATAAAGGATCAGCCTTAACTGCCTGGCCCACGTGTCTCACAGGAAACAGAAACCAAACACAAAGCTTCATTTTTCCATCAGAAGGAAATTGACTGTGGCATTTTACTGATTCATTCTTTCCATTATTTCCAAATTCACAGCAAATTTAGAGTAAATCAAGATTCTTCCCTGTGTGTTACCATTGATAGAGTGTGATATTTCATTTCAACCATGATTTTGAACATCAGTTTCTTGCTATAAGGATTAATAAGCTTTGTATATGATTACATGCTCCCAAGCAATTATATTTGTTGCCCTAAATTCCTAATCAGAATATTTGACTTAGAAAGACATATGGACTTTTTGTTTTTTACACTCATTTCTAAGGCACTGTCATGGTCTCTTTAGAGATCAAACTTTCATTTGGAAAAACAATTCACACCCAGCTCCCTTGTTAGTGTTTCATGAAATGGTGTTAAAATAAAACTGAAATAACAAGTGCCCCTCTCTTCATCTGATAAATGCACCCCGACTTACCCTTAGGGATATGCAATTTGTGCTTAGTCTTTTCACACCACCCCACTGGGTGAATGTCAGGGGAACCAGCATTGGTCCAAAAATCATAGCAGCTCAAATAACCATCAAAATGCAGTCTCAGCCGGTAACCACATACCTGAATCCAAGAAAGTTCACAATAGTTCATAAGTAGCATGGATTGAAATGTGCTCAGAAACTGACAAAAATATTCAAATGTCTAGTCAACATTATTGACATGAATCAATCTGATCCATCTATTCATCCAGGCACTTTCATCAGAGAACAAATGTATATGTGAAATAATATATGACTAAATCAAAATGATGATGAAGAGTTATCTAGAACTTTTTGCAAAAGTATACTCTTTAGACCAATCTTGGAATCTGAGGTCAAAACAGATATTTTTTAATTGACTCTTAATTCAGTATCTACCAAATATTCCTTTTAGAAACTGTATCTTCTGCTGGTGGGCTTACTTAGAGGGTAGAGACTAAGCTACCGAATGGCCTTAACCCATGGAACCAGTGTATTTAACACAGAAAATAACAACAGTCTGATAAATACTTCCTCCAGACATTCTGTACAAGTCTAACAGCCATTATCATTGCACAGAGCATGTGAATGTGACTTCTGAGTTCAAGGCCTTTATAAATGTAGACCTCTTTCATTGATTTAATAACACGTTGAATAAACATTACATTTTAAAATCCATTTGTTTTCATCAACGACAGTTCTCTGTATATAGTTTTCATAAAATGAGTGTATTTAAATGAATATATATATTCATTAGTTCAGCTAACCTATGAATAATTACATCACTATAATAGGTGAAAATAGCACTGTGGCATCTTTAGATTATTATCAACTTCAGGATAGACCTATTTTTTCAATTAACTCAGTGATAAACACTAGCTGATGAAGAACTTACTAGAAAATTCATCTTAAGAAAAAAAATTATTAAGAAGTATATTTTTATACATTATTGACAAAAATAATGGGCTGGGACCCATTTATGTCAGAAGGTGCTGAAATTTGTTATTTTCTACAAAACTGTCACCACACAATTAACCCAAGGCCATAGCACCCCCCTCTTACCTCAGCTACAGAGAGCGCACAGAATACAGATGGACGTCGGGGATCAATGCCTTCTAATCGCATTCCAACCTGAAAGCCATTTTCATGCTCTGGAAAGGATTGATCCTATGAAATTTCATGATACGATATCAGCCACTGAGATTTCTTCACAATTTAACATACAACATTTTTATGTCTTTGATATGTGGACTGTAAAAATAGCAGGATTCATAAAAGCAGAGGAGAAAGTGACTATAGGAGCTGGAGGGGGAGAGGGGAGAGGAGATGCTACTCAAGATTCAAAGCTGCAGTTAGAAAGCAGGAATGAATGATAGGTATTTAAGGAGATGAATATATATCCACAGTGTGGAGTATATACAATACATCATCGTGGTGTGACTGACAATTATATATGATTATAACTTGTCAAGAGTGAAGTAGCAGAATTTAATAAAGGATTTTACCATGTAGTTTGGAAGCTTGATTTTTGAAGTGTAACACTTACATTAATTCTTTGTTACTTTTATTCATGCATGCCATGTATTCCTCCCCCTAACTCAACCCAGACTTAAGCCCCTTCTTAACTCCATACCCTTTTTTTTTTTTCCTTTAAATAACCTACCAAGTCCAATTTGTGCTACCGATAAACGTAAGGGTATGGAGCCAGCGACTGGAATGGTTGACCTGCTAGATGCCACACCCTTAAAGAAAATTCAGTCTCCTTTCTCCAGAAGCCATCAACTGTCAATAGGGTCTCAGCTAGGGGGTAGGGCCAGTGAGACCGGCTTGATCTTTTGCATCCTCAGCAGGCCACCACGGATGCTGAGAGTTTATCAATACAGTGTTCCTCTCGTGTCCAGGAGCCACGGCTTTGCTCTGGTGTCCCCTTGGCCACTGGCTCTTAGCCCTTCTGCTCCTTCTTCCATGGCAGTACCTGTCCCCGGCACGGCAAGAGTGGCACAGAGGTCCCATGTGGCTGAGCATTCTGCACACTGACAGATCATGAGTTTCTTCACTACTTATGGTTTACTAGACAAATGAACTTCTCTATATGGTCTGAGAACTGCACTAAAATGTGGGTTTAGAGATAGTCACTAAATGGCAGTTTGATGCCACCTCCAATTAGAAGAGTAATAATAGTAGATTGGGAAGCTGGGCTTTAATATGCTTTCAAAGAGTTCATCCATTAAATCCTTATGAACCAGTCCACTCATTTTTCTCATCCCTCCTTCCTGTGCTCTGGACAACAATGTTTTGCTGATTGCATAGATGACCTATCCTCAGTCTGCAGCTAGGCTTGTCACTTTGTTTACAGTGACTTTATAGACCTTCGCCCCCCCCCCAGCCCCATCCCCAACAATGTGTTCTTGCTGTGTGGCCCAGGAAGCCCTGAATTCATGATCCTTCTGCTTCCATACCCTGAGTCCTGTGGACCACTTTGAATTTTACTACAGAAAATCTAGGAAGCCATATGTCTTCTGTCCAGCTGTGTATCCAGCCTATGGAACCCTAACTCTGAGGCTTCTGATATCTTAGTGGTTTGGAAAAGGTACAGTCAGAAAACAGCTTCTCTGTAAGGCAGATGACAAAGCTTAATACTGGACAATCACAGGAAAGACGAATCTGGTTATCAAATAGCCAAAATCACATAGCCTTGGCCAGCCAAGCTGCACAGCTGAGGGCGGAGTAACCAGGAAGAGGGAGAGAATAGGTTGGCAAGCTTGAGACAGGAATGGGGACAGCAAGGCAGCCTGGACTTAGCCGATCCCAGAGCTGCACAGCATGGAGCCACAAGGGAAATACTGTGTGTCTTGGTATAGGCAGCATGTCTACGCCAGGAGCTGGACTGAGAAACAGCACACGGTTTTCTGTGCCTGACAACTCACAGCAATTTTCGGCACACTGTCCTAGTAAGTGTTTGCCTGGTGGCAAAGAGAAGTGCCAGTCACACGTCCCTTGAATTCATTTAAAAGGGTATGCAGTAGGGTTCAGGCCTGGCACACAGAGTGGAGTCGGACTAACTTCCCCCTTTTTTAAGACAGCAGCTAAAGTCAGTCAGGATGAGCAAGTACGCACAATGGTGGCAGAGGCTGGGACTCAGAAACCTGTAATCCTAGAGCAGAACCTGCAGCATCCCTCCAATCGTGACGGTCGGTGGTTCGATCGTGCACATGGCCAGAGGAGGCACATGAAAGCAGCATGGCCAGCAAGCTCAGCTCAGCTCAGCCCTGGCATGATGTCAAGACAATCTTCTGACGAGGAATCCCATCTAAAGGAGTCCAGGCTCCACTCTGCCTTGTGCTAGTAAGCCGGGAAACAGCTGGTTTCCGTGTCAGACCATTCTCGCTGGGCTAACTGGGTTATAAATGACAATAAAAGGAGTGGCGATCTCAAGCCGCTTGGGGGGTGGGGGACAAGACATAGAAAGAGAATGGCAGAGGGAGAGAGTATTCTGTCCATGCAACTGCGCCCACAGAGACAATATTTAAATATCGTTTAACTGAACACTTTTTTTTTTTTTTTTTTTGGTTTTTCGAGACAGGGTTTCTCCGTGTAGTTTTTGTGCCTGTCCTGGATCTCGTTCTGTAGACCAGGCTGGCCTCGAACTCACAGAGATCCACCTGGTTCTGCCTCCTGAGTGCTAGGATTAAAGGTGTGCGCCACCGCCGCCTGCCTCTGAACACTCCTTTTGTTTGTCTGTATTTGCTGATGTCCAAGTATATGTGCACATGTGTATGTGTGTGTGTGTGTGTGCGTGCGTGCGTGCGTGCGTGCGTGTGTGTGTGTGTGTGTGTGTGTGTGTATCTATATGTAGGTATGTGTCTCTGTGTGTGTCTGTTTGACTGTCTGTCTGTCTGGTGTCTGTGAGTCTCTGTGTTTGTGCCCATGTATGTGTCCATGTGTGTATATGTTTGTGTGTATGTGTGTCTCTGTGTATGTGAGAGAGAGAAAGATCCTTTTCTCAGGCCTCTCCTTTTGATTTTCTGTTTGGGGGTCTTCAGGAGTTTGCTGTTGTTACTCTCCCTCTCCCTCTCCCTCCCCCTCCCCCCCTCTCTCTCCATCTCCTTTGATTAATTGAATTCTTTTATTCTACACATATTTTTATAACTAGGGTCTTCATTTGATACCTTTCACCATTTCCACTTATTATTTTTCTTCTCTCTTAATTGTTTCCTTATTTTTTTTTTTAAAAAAAAATCATGTTTTAAAACATTTTCCTGAAGGTTGATTTCTGCTCCTACTACTCCGGCAGTTGTTACCAGAGCTATACATGACGTAAGAGGTAGTTGGTTTTATTTTATTTCAGATTCTAGTTCAATGATATTTGCTTCTGTTAGTGGTGATTTTTCTTCTTACAGACACTAGGAATCCAAGACACACTTTGCCCTGCCATGGGAGAACATTCTCAGCCCAGCTTAGAGTCAGCACATACTGCTGAATACTACATACCCAACTCAAAGTTAAAATGATACTATAACTCAAAAAAAAGGGAGATTAAAAAACCTCTAGCCAACAACCGATATCTGAGCAGGTGGATGGGCCTGAAGGCCGACTCATGGATACTCCACCTCCAAGAGCTATAGCAGAGATAAAAGGACTGTGGACACTCCATCGATGCAAGGCCACCCTGTATTACACCCAGGCCTTTTCAGACTCTGCGCAGCTGATAAGACTAGGAATGATTGCAGAGGGTGTGCCCCACATGTGTGTGCAACCATGTACAATTGTCGTGATCTTACGAGACCCCAAGGAAAGGCAGGAACATCAGGCTCCGATACACTACACACCGTCAGAAGACAATGGAGTCAAAGAAGTCAGAGGAAAACTTCACCACAGAATACAGCTGGAAATACATTGAACTCCTCACTATGATCCCATACCCCTGGTTACATTGTCAAAAGACAAAAACAAAAACAAAAAAAACCAAAAGGGACAAACTAAAGGTACAGGAAATCTATTCAGTGACTCAAAACAGGGAACCACCCAGTTCTTGGGGAAACATGGATACCCAGGTACAAGAATTGTTTAGAAACCCAGGAAATTGACCAGAAAAGATCCCTCTCATTATCTATTTAGATAAAATGTCAACAGTAAAGAACTGAGAAAGAAAACTGTACTGACAGAGCCAACTCACTTATCAAGGCAGAAAAAATCTAAGTAATATCAGATTTGTCAATGAAAACTCTGAGGTCAGGTGGTGGTTTGAAGAGGAATGGCCCCCATAGACTAATGTGTTTGAATGCTCGGTCCATAGGGATTGGCACTATTAGGAGGTGTGGCCTTGTTGGAGAAATGTGTCACTGTGGAGGTGGGTTTTGATGTCTCATATGCTCAAGCTATGCCCAGTGTGGTACACAGTCTTCACCTCCTCTGCCTGCAGATCAGGATGTAGTACTCTCAGCTCCTTCTCCAGTACCATGTCTGCCTGCATGCCACCATGTCCTGCCATGATGACAATGGACTAAACCTCTAAAACTGTAAACCAGCCCCAACTAAATGTTTTCCTTTACAAGAGTTATTGTCATCCTGGTGTCTCTTCACAGCAATAAAACTCTAAGATACCAGGTGACAGCAGATGCCCAGCCCAGATGACAATATCAAGAACAAATATCCTTAAGAATATAAGGAAGTCAAGGTCAGTATAAGTTAAAGCAATCCATGACCATTTCCATATTGCAGATGATACCTAAGGAACCCTAAACACAACAGAGCAAGGTAAACAACACTAAGAAGGAAGAATAATAAGTCCTACTAGAAGACTAAATAGGCAAATTAGAATTAATTAGGAAGTAGTTAAACATCAGTTGTTTTTTTTTTTAAGTATGCCAAGAATTAGTATACCCCTAATTATAGCACTGGATTTAAATGGTCCTAATTCTCCAAATAAAACTGAGACTGGCTAATGGAATTATAATTAAATATCCTTCTATATCTAACCTATAAAAAACACGGTCCTCCATCAAATACAGTCTGAAAGTTAAAAGTTAAAAAATTATATTCCAAATAAAGGAAACCCAGGTAAAGCAGGTACAGCTATCTGTGCCTATCTCACAAAGCAGATTTCAAGTGTAAAACACAATGAAAGTTGCTACATGTTGGTAAAGGGAACAACAATACACACAGAA